TCCATCAAAGACACTGATTTTGAACTCCCCAAAGGAAGATAGAACGAAAGAAAACAGGAAAGTCACTCACACTGGTCTGGAGGCATCCTGGAGTCCCAGACCTGAAGCCTCAGTTAGAGATCCTGAAGCAAAGGGACATGGGTAACCACCCAGCCATAATCCCACTACTGTGTACTGTGCCACCAGAACAGAAGCTATACATAGGACAGCTGTACACTAGCCCTGGTTCCACACAACAGTGTGTTCTGAAATCTTGTGCTACAGTCCTGACCCCAACCCCACTCTAGGCCCCTGCCTTTTCGAGATACAGCATAATAAGGTACAATGCTGACAGGACTAAGTAGCAAGCGTACCCACGGCATCTTCCTACAGTATCAGTGAGTCAGCACCAGGTGGTAGAAGGGATGCAACATGCTGAGCAATCAATAAGCAAATTGAAGGAGAAGGTGGCCTTGGCCTCCCAAATTCCCACTCCTCCTTGACAGGATCAGCTCATGGAAGTAGGTGGGGCCATTCTCCCATAATAAAGAACACAGCATGTTTGCCTGCCCACCACACTGAGGAGGAGCAGATGAAGAGAGGAATCTCTCTCAGTATTCCTTTCCTCCCCATCTGGGCACGTGATATAACCTGAGGGTCTGAGGCCAGGATCTCAGCTCCCAGAATCTAGCAGACTCACGATTCTGCCCTTCAGCTCATTAAAGCACTTTATTCATCTAAGCCTCCTCCACTGATGTGCAGAGGCTCAAGCGCCTCCAGGGGTGGCTTTCTCCTGTTGTCCCCAGCACTTGCAACACCTCTGCTCCCTTCCACTGCAAACAATATGGAAGAACTAAAAACAGTGTGGACTGAGAGTTGCAATAACTCAGTCCACGACCTTTGCTGAAGGCTGAGTGCTGTACATACAACAGATACATAAACTTGTTGCTTAAAACAAGAATTGGAGTAATGGGTGCCTATGATACCAGCATTCACGGGCAAGGAAGGGGGATTATGAGTTTGAGACCAACAAGACCCTATAGCAAAACACGATACCAGGTATGGTGTTACACACCTGTAATCCCAGAAGTTGGGAGGTAGAAGCAGGGGAATCAGAAGTTCAAGGCCACCCTTGGCCACATGGCAATTTCAAGGGCAGCTTGGGCTACAGGAGACCCTGTGTAACAACAAAAACAACAAAAAAGTGTGGTTGCACAACATTGTATTTAAAACGGCTGAACTGTCCACCTGGAATAGTAAAAATGGCCAGGTGTGGTAGCACAGACCTTTAATCCAAACATTTGGAAGGCAGAGACAAGAATTTCAAGTGGGAGGCCACTCTGGGATACATGATGAGATCTCACTTCTGAAAACAAAAACAGTAATAATGGTTAACCGCTAAGTCCCATTACAAATATTGTGCATAATACAAGGAAAATACATTTTGACATTTGGGTTGTGAGCTTAACCTTTAGCAGCTGAAACATCTCTCCATGCCTTTGATAGATCAGAAGTAAATAGAAAATCTTTGGAGACATTTAAAGCAGCAGCAAAACAAAAAGACCCAGGGCTAAACCTAACAAAGTGGATGCGAGGCTTCCACACCTGCTGCTGTAAGTTGTGGAGTGGCGAGAAGTCCAGCAACAGTGGGTTTAAGAATGTGGTATATGCGCAGTGAAATGTCATTCAGCCTTACAGAAAGGAGGACAGAACTGAAGATTATGCTAAGCAAAATGAGGCACACCTGAACAAATACTAGGCTTGCTTACATGTGTGGATTCTAAATGTATAAATGTGTGTATATAGGAGATGAAAGCCGAAAGGGAGACCACGTGGGAAAAGCAAACAGAATGGGGAGAGGGTTGGGAGAGAACAGTGGGGGATAAGGACAAAGGACAGTGACATCTATATAAGAAATGCCATAATGAAACCCATTACTTTGTATGCTGACAGAAAAACCTAAAGGCAAGCAAGACTTCCAACCTGGAAAATACACAGAACTTGCTCAGTGTGAGACCACCAGGAGGCAGAACAGGCCAGTGTCTCCCACCTGACTCCTCTTCGCATTTCACCTTTTTTTTTTTTTTCCTTTTAAGGTTTTTTTCATCATTCTTAGCACCTTGTATTTTTGTTTGCATTCTTGGAAAATCTGTTCCACAGTTTCTAGCTTCCATTTCTGTTTCTTCTCTGAAGAATCCTTTTGTTTTTAGTGGTTTCTCTCTCCTGTGCTGTTATTCTTCAAAAATATAAAAATTATAATTTTAATGCAAGATATTTAAAAAACATCATTCACTATGTAAAATACCTAGAATAGACAAAATCCTACAGAAAAAAACAGGGTTGGGGTAGGGAAACAGAGACCTGCTGTTTAAATGGGTAGAGACTTCCTGTTTGAACAGAAACAGGATTGCAGAGCTCTCTGACCAGCGAACAGTGAGTGCTGAGTTCAGTGAGAAAGCCTATCACCTGTCTCAACAGTGGAAGGACAGAGAGAACCATGCATGCCCTTAATCCCAGCACTCAGGCGGCAGCAGCGAGCAGATCCCTATGAGTCTGAGGCCAGCCTGGTCTACATAGTAAGAGCCAGGAAAGCCAGGACTACATAGAGAAACGCTGTCTTGGAGGGAAAGTGGATGGACAGAGACGGCTCATCCACTAAATGAACTTTGCAGTGCAAACCTGATGTCCTGAGCTCAATGCCTGGAATCTACGTCAAGGTGAGGGTGAGAACTGACTCCACAAAGTTGTCTTCTGACCTCCACTAGTGCTGTAGGACATCCATGCTGAAACACACACACACGCACACACAACATACATAACAGTAAATAAAAGTTTAGGTGGAAAGGAATATAGGAAAACATCTATCTACATATGAATGCCATCACACAATGGCAACACTGTAAAAGTCGGGAAAGAAGGGTTGGGAGGAGGAATGAGAATATACACTTGTAAGTCTCCTAAGATGATTACACAGAAAGCTTAGGCTGGCTAGTCTTTTTTTTTTTTTTTTCGTATTTTTTTTATTTTTATTCGTTTTTTATTACAATTTATTCACTTTGTATCCCAGCTGTAGCCCCCTCTCTCCTCCCCTTCCAATCCTGGCCTCCCTCGTCTCTTCCCATGCCCCTCCCCCAGTCCACTGAAAAGGGAGGTCCTCCTCCCCTTCCACCTGACCCTAGCCTATCAGGTCTCATCGGGACTGGCTGCATTGTCTTCCTCAGTGGCCTGGTAAGGCTGGCCCCCGTCAGGGGGAGGTATCAACGGGCCAGGCTGGCTATTCTTCCAGAAGACCTGGGTTTAATTCCCAGCACCAACACCGCAGCGCACAGCCATGTAACTCCAGCCTGAGGGATCCAGTGCCTTCCCTTGGCCTTACGGGCTCTACATGCACATAGTGCCCAGATATACATACAGGCAAAACACCCGTAAATGTAAAATAAAAAGATTACAAGAAAATAACTTAAAATTTTTTTAAGAAAAAAAAAAGTGACATACAAACCAGGACAAACGCCAAAGGCACATGTCCCTGCCCTGGCATTCGAGACCTCAGCGCCTCCATGTCCCCTCCACTGTTACACTGCACAGAGGGAGGGACCAGCCTCACGTCCTCGCACTTCACCCTCCCTCTCACCGCACAGTCCTCCACGCTCACCTCCACCCCACACACATCACACTACTGAGACGGCCATCACTTGTGCCCCCGCCACCGGAAGCCCGACCACTGCACTCGATGCTCCCCTCTTCTATAGCCATCAAGTCACCCTATCGACAAGGCTCGCAGACAAGAAATGGAGGCTTACAAACGAGGCAGCCTGCCAACTGAAACAGCTCTGCGTGGGTGCCTCAGCTCTTTCCTGATTGCTAACCGAGTGTTCTGTCCACTGTATTGTTACTTGCTCGCGGAGTGCGCGGAGTGCGCGGGACCTGTTGTGTGGTCGGTCGGTAGCTGCTGCATGAGTTCTCTAGGAAGAGACAGGAACTCACTACTGTAGCACTGACCTCCTCTAACACAACTTGCTGTGCCAGACCAGAGTCTCACACAATCAGCAGGTACAGCATATGCCAGAGAGAGATAACTGCTATGCCCAAGCCAGTGCCTTCACGGGGGTGCCACTCCCCTTCCATATTCTCTGTCGGTATCTCTAGCCACCCAAGAAATTTCAAGATTTCGGTTACGGTAAATGGCTAGAAAGTACCAGTTACTTCAACATTCCGTTCCGTTCCGGCTAGGTTCCATCAGAAGGGACTACGACAAATTACACAACATACTCAAACCACTCTAAGTTTTTCATTTCTTTTAATTACACTAATTTGGGAGGGATGATTGGGCACGGGTGTGGATGCCAGAAGACAACTCTGAAGGAGTCAGTTTTCTCAACGTTGTGGGTGTTAGGGATCAAACCCAGGTCTGCAGTCTTGCAGCAATCCCCTCCACCCACTGAGCCATCTCAAAGGCCCTGTATAATAACCGATGGCCTACTTTTAAATACCATCACCTGCTTGGTACAGCGAACGGCGCCACGCTGGGCACAGAGACACAAAAAGTTCATCACACGGGAAGGAAAATTCACAAAGCCAATAGCTGTCCTAGGGCACTCACCAGGGACTATGTATAACTGTGGCGCCAGGGTGCCGGGCAGAGTCCCAGGGTGCGAACCTCTCCAGACAGATCTTTTGATCAAACCGGCACTGTTTCGATACAACTAGAACTTCACGGATTTAGCCACACAGACCCGGAACTCCACAGGCATCTCTTAGGAGTCGCTGGTTGGGAAGAAAAGGTTCCTTCCTCCTTTGATAAAATGGGAAAGGAGAATTTCATTTTTGTGAGCTGAAACCATTTTGTGCTCCAGTGCTAGCAACAACAACAACAACAAAAAAAAAGGGCTGGTTAATATAGTGGGAAAAAGTGTTTCACATACACATACCCCACTCACAAGTCATTGGCTCAGGGGATCATCTCTTACAAATCCACTCACAAGTCATTGGCTCAGGGGATCATCTCTAACAAATCTGCTCCCGGCATGTGGAAAGCAGCTCATCCCGGTGGGCCTGCCAGGCTGCCAGGAGACAAAGTTGTGTCCCATGATTTGTGCACCTGGGCTGAAACCGTTCCCTTCCGGGCCAACGCTTTCACTCCCCCTGCCTGCTTCTATGCTCCACACCGCTCAGGTGCCCAGGCCCGAGACCCGTGCAGCCCCACCGCGGGAGGCCGACCATTGTCACTTCCTATCTGGCTGACCGGCTCCAGCTAGTGCGTTGTGGTCCTGGATCAACAGGGCGGGCTGCCAGGCAAGCCCGGACTTGAGAGGATGGAGGATGCAGAAGGATCTGGAAAAATCGGCTAGACTCCGGGCGGGGAGGGGAGAGGGGAGGGGGGAACGCGGGAGGGAGGACATGGGGCACATTGTGATCATCGAAATCCGTGCGGTCCTGGAGTGGGAGAAGAGGCCGCCCCTAGGAGCTATCAACCAGAAAAACAAATCTTCCCAAAAAAAAAAAAAAAAAAAAAAAGCCCTCGGGTACCTACAGCCCAAGAGCCCCAACCCGTTTAACTGCTTCTCTAGAAAGTTCTCTGCTCCCGCCCCTTCTCGGCCCGCTCGTGCCGCTCCTCCCGGCCCCGCCCCCGACGCAGAAACGACCAATCACAGGCCGGGCCGCGCCGCGCCCGCCCCTTGGCGTCACCCGACTCGGCCGCCGGCGGCGAGCGCGCGGACAGACCTGTGCGCGAGCCTGGGTCGCCGTTCTCGGTGGGCAGAGCCGCCTTCCGCCGCCCGCCACCCCGCCGCCGCTCAACCCCGGTCGGCGGCCCAAGTGCCGGCCTCGCGCCTGCCTCACTCCCGCAGCCAACGGTGCGCCTAGCGGCCATGACCGCCGAGGAGATGAAGGCGGCCGAGAACGGGGCGCAGTCGGCGCCCCTCTCTCTCGAAGGAGTGGACATCAGCCCCAAGCAGGACGGGGGCGTGCTCAAGGTGAGGGGGCCGCGGAGCCCCTCCCGGCTGCAGGCTCGTGGGCCTTGGAGGGGGGACCGCGGCGGGAGGATGGGGGAAGTTCGCCTTTCCTGCGCGGTCGGCGGCTGCACGCTTCGGAGGGTGCGGCCCCGGCCCGGGAAGGAGCCCCCACTACCACGCCAACTCGATCCGGCTGCAGTGTGCGGCTGAGAGGGGCGGAGCGCAGCGCAGCGCGAGAGCCGCAGCCGGGGCCCGGGCGGGGCGGTGCACGAGGCCGGGGCGCGCCTGGGGACTCGGGCCTCGCCTCCCGGGAACGTCTCGGCGGGCGCGGGCCACCTGGACGAAGGTGCGCCGGGGCTCGCCCACTTGAAAGTTAAAACATTAGCTGGGACCTGAAACGCCTCCCGAGGGCAGGTTCCTGGCCCAGAGCCCTTTTGTGCCTTTCCAAGCCCCTTTTGCAATCGCCGAGACTCAGCGAGGTCACGGGCTCGGCCATGCTGTGCCCCTTTTTTCGGCCCCGGGCTAGCGGGAGCGGTGCATGCCGGGACCTGTAGTTCCTCTCCCGCCCCTCCTGAGCCTTCTGAGTTGGGGGTTCGGGGTGCTGGCCGTGGGGGAGGTGCTTTGCCCTGGAGCCAGCGAATCACTAGCCGCTTGGCTTCAAATAGCCGGAGGAGCAAGGGGGAGGGCGCCCTGACCCGAGTCGGGACAATGGGCGCCAGCTCAGAGCAGGTTCTGCCAGCGGTCCTGGACAGTGAAATCTTAACCTACATAGCATGCTCTCCCTGCATCCATTGTTTCTCCTCCGGGCGTCCCATTGCTCACCTCCTACTGTGTGTGGCCTATGCAGAGACATCAGGGAACCTTTTTGGTCCAGAAATGCTCCTGGATTTTACCTCAGTTCTTGCTGTGCTCCCTGTGAACATGTGGTCCTTTCTCTTTTCCACTAAGTTCTGATTCCCAGATGGGTCAATTCCTCCTTTATCCTCCACTCCTTCGAGGACCCTATACATTCTTCTCAGGAAAGTCCACCCGTAGAGGATGGTTGCACATACTCCTATTAGCTTGCCCATTGGGGTCACCATTATTAAAAAATGTCAAACAGAAATAGATGCCTATACATTCTCAGCAGGTAAAGGGCCTCTTAGCCTACTGCTCGAGTAGTTTTGTTTTCCAGGGCGTGATACAGAGCCTTTGTGCTCATGTGTAATCTGGCCCTTCTTTTTCCCAGTTTTGAACTGATCGGTTCTCTTCATTACTCCTGTTCCATTCTATTCAAACCAGTTTCTATCAGTGTGTTCTTTGAGCACCTTTTGGGCGGTTGTCCTCAGTGCTTGACAGACAACTTCTGGATAGGTTAGCAACTTGTCCAAAACCATAGACAAAGCTTGAACCCAGGTCATTTTATTTTCAGTTTCCCAAAGCAGGTCTGGACAAAAACCTAGAGGGAGATCAGGAGGTTAATTGAGTCTTAGCTAAACCGCTAATATCAGAATCATTTGAAGATTGGGCTCTTGGCCCTGCTAATAAAGAGGCAGGGCCAGTGGGTGTGGTAGAATCCAGTAGGCACCTTTTGGGGCTTATAGACAGTTGGGGCCCTCCTGCCCACACCCCTGGGTACTCACTTTCTTCCCCCCTTCCTCCCAGGTCATCAAGAAAGAGGGTTCAGGCACAGAGGCACCCATGATTGGGGACCGTGTCTTTGTCCACTACACTGGCTGGCTGCTGGATGGCACAAAGTTTGACTCCAGTCTGGACCGCAAGGACAAATTCTCCTTTGACCTGGGGAAAGGTAGGCTTGATTAGCGGGCTGGCAGGATAGGCTCTGGAGTTGATAGTAGCTGTCTCAAGCAAAAATTACGTTCTCGGCCAAGCTTGAGCTGGGGCACAGCAGGGCTAACCTGTGTTCCCAGTTACCAGAAAAGCTGAGGCAAGGGTCACGTGAGCCCAGGAGTTCAAGGCAGCCTTGGCTAAATAGCATAAATTAGTCATCAAAAAAGAAAAAGCCACCAGAAGCAAGCTTAAGAAGGAATGGTTAAGAATCCATCTGTGATCCGCCCTGTGTTTCCACTACTGTTATGGGACAGACTGCTTTCTTCTTCCCCCATCTCATCAGTTCAGCTCCTCCCTCCCTCTGGGGTGGACAGTCTTGCTCCGTGAACTGTGTTAACCTTGAGGATGACAGCACTGCTGCTTCCCATTTCTAGAGGTGTTCAGGTTCCGCCCATGGTGTAGTGTGGCAGCTGTCTTTGGGGGTGTTGAGCCTAGAGTTTGGCCCCTGCTACTCTCGTTTGCCTCTACCTACAGGGGAGGTCATCAAGGCTTGGGATATTGCTGTAGCAACCATGAAAGTGGGGGAAGTGTGCCAGATCACCTGCAAGCCAGAATATGCCTACGGTTCAGCAGGCAGCCCTCCAAAGATCCCCCCCAACTCCACACTTATATTTGAGGTGAGTGCTAGACACAGAGCCAGGCCTCCCCATTGCCTGGCTGCCCTCCAGCCCTTCCTGCCTTTTGGAGACAAATGTGGCTGAGCCTGAGGTCTAGCTTTAATGGAAGGAGAGGTGGAGAGGGTAGCTGGCTCTGCTACCATCAGAGTGTCCAGTAATAAAGGCTTTGGGTTGGAAGAGGTCCTCCAAAGCCCTTTTAGAAGAGAAGTGCCTGGGGCATTCTCAGTTGAAAGGAGTTGGGTTCAGGAAGCATCAGGGTCCTAAAGGGCAATGTAGCGTATTGACAGCCTGGAGCCCAGAGGGGGAAAACACCTTATAGGTCGGATTGAAGCAGAAACTCCGCTGAAGTGAAGAAATAAGACAATTGAATCTGAAAGTGGAAAAGCAACCAGTGGGCGGGTCACTTCGGGTGCCTACCAGATGGAGCATCTTGTGTCCTTGTTTAATGGAGCTGGATGATAGAGAGCTTGTCTTCCTGCGGCCAAGTGATGTCTGTGTGTTCTAAGTGGAAAAGAAAGCAATTTGACTGTTGAGTTGGTGCAGAAAGGAGTTAGTCAGCTTCTGTCTCATCACACAGGTAGAGCTATTTGAGTTCAAAGGAGAGGATCTTACAGAGGATGAAGATGGAGGTATCATCCGCAGAATACGGACTCGTGGTGAAGGCTATGCCAGGCCCAATGATGGTGCTATGGTAGAAGGTAAGGAAGTATAGACTGTGGAAGAAGAATCCAGAGTTCCCTCTGGTTCCTGGCTCAGAGGTGTGGCTGTGGGTGGTTTGGACCAAGCCTCTTGTCTCATCCTTAGAATGAGAGGTTAGACCACTCAGCCTTAGCATCCCTCCAGGTCTGAGACACAGTGGTTATATAGGTATAAGCTGTGGTGCAGAGATAGGGGAGGCTGTGGCTGCTTCCTCAAGGCTCTGCCCTCACACCTGGGACACTTGTCTCTTTAATGCCAGTGGCACTGGAAGGCTACTATAAGGACCAGCTCTTTGACAAACGGGAGCTTCGTTTTGAAGTTGGTGAAGGGGAAAGTCTGGATCTGCCCTGTGGGCTGGAGACGGCCATTCAGCGGATGGAGAAAGGAGAACATTCCATTGTATACCTCAAACCTAGGTGAGACACGGGCTTTGCAGACCACAGGGCCATACTGAATGTCCACAGTGAGCTTTGCGATAGGCATTTGTAAGCACCATATGCTTGCTGCTACTCTAAGGATGTTGAGGCCAGCGTGAGCTCTTCATTGGATCAGGAAGTGTGGCCTACAGTTGTCCATGTTTCCTTGCATTCAATCCTCATCCAAATTCCCAACCTGGCAATGTCAAGATTTTCATCTGCCATTAGTTTGTTCAGTCATTAACATTTGTTGAAACACCTACTGTGTGCCACACACGCTAAGGTTTCCAGGGCTTCATGATTCTTGCTTCATTGTCTCTTTGAGTTAGTCACCTCAACAGTGTGTATGAAGGGTTAGGAGCAAGAAGTAGTAAGTGCTATGGGACCACCTAAATGTGTAATGAAGAGCTTAGAGGAATGTTAACAGGAAGTATTTGAACCAGGTCTCAGAATGGGAAGGTATGTTCCAGGAAACAGAGGAAACCTTTCAGCCCAGAGCAGACAAAGGGCTGTGAGGTGACCCAGGCATTTCTCACCCCTACAGCTATGCTTTTGGCAGTGCTGGGAAGGAAAAGTTCCAGATCCCAGCACATGCTGAGCTGAGGTATGAAGTGCATCTGAAGAGTTTTGAGAAGGTGAGTTTGCCTGAGGCATGCCCTCCCCTGGAGTCTGCCCTGTGGGTGACTGACGGACATGACCACTGTTTGTCTCCTCTGGGGTACCACAGGCCAAGGAGTCATGGGAGATGAGTTCCGAGGAGAAGCTGGAGCAGAGCAACATAGTAAAAGAGAGGGGCACTATGTACTTCAAGGTGAGGCGAGGGCTGTCCAGACGGGAATCCGCCACAGTTCCAGATAGCCCTTGAGGTTGTCCCCCTGTTAGGCCTTGGTACATTGGTCAGGGATGGGAAGGAGTGGGAATGTGGTGTCCA